GCTTGGTACCCTCGCGGCATGGTCTAGTCATGGATGTTAGATACTGGAATCTCCGTACATCAGGAGAGCTTACAGTCGACACCCAACTCTTTCCACGCCGCATCTACTTCAGGTCCAGCATCCATTCGATACGCGTTTGATACCAACAAAGATCCGTTGAACTGGATCTGGCTGTAGGTAACCCCGACATCCTTGATGATCGGAGCTGACTGGTATTAGCAGGACACTCTTCACATGCAGCTCCTCCAAACATACAGTACTGTGAGGTGTGCCTGATGCAAAACGCATCTGCGTCGAGTCGTTCCCTTTGAGCTATCCATGCTCCTAGGAAGGCAGAGAGTATAGCTGTGCCGAGGAACGCGGTAGCGATTGCTAGCCATGACCAATGCCGCGGTATCTGTCGCAATGGTCGCAAATCGAGCGAAGCTTCTTCATGTTCTGCAAGCAACCTCTCGCAGTCTCCATTCTCTCGATCATGTTCGTAACTTGGTCCTTTCTCAGTTTCGATGTTCGACATGGCGGCAATGAACAAGCGATGGAATTATGGAACCGGGTTTGAAGGTGAAGACAGAAGCGAGAGGCATGCCAAATCGAAAAAAAGCGACGATTATCCATGGCCAAAACACTGCGGATGGTCAGTCGCACTCCCCCGGGGCCAGCTTCTAGCTCTTACCCCGCCTAAGCTGAATACGACACACGATGCACCCCTCCATTCACGATCGCTGGTGGCGTTTTAGGGCTGAGCTGGGACACACAACCACCACGACCTGTCTCGTATACCTTGTCGGAAATAATGGTCATCATCTGCGCTAGACTTCGTTGGAGCAGCTTGCAGCGCGCGTGCCGCATTTTCGATAGCTGGCTTTCGAACTCGATGCACCACCACAAGAATAGATACGGGACTAGACTTGACAAGCAGAATCAATAGCACGATGCCAGCTACCTTTACGAGCGCCACATCGGATTTTGCGTAATCTACAATGCAAGATGTGGTTTCCAAAGCGTCGAAGCTCTGTGGGGTTGCGGTGACATCTCTTTGACACCGAATGTCCACTACCAAGGTTCCAAAGCTGACATCCACACCGACCTCAAGTGTATGACGCCAAAGTCGCTCTCAGCTCTCCACAAACAACCATTTGCTTTTGCATAGACAGCTTCATTCAGACAAAACCCTGACTACTCTCCACTCTTTCCCCAGCGCCGTCCCGCCAGCTCCTCACTAAGCCCCCATACTCACGGCTTTGACCGGATCAAGCTCAATAGTCAGCCCGCCGCACATACGAGATCTAGTCTGGAATCACGCCACGGAGAATGAGAGCCAGCGCATGATGTACTACTGCATCTTTCTCCGCCCGACTGCGCACACTGTTGCTAAGACTTGCGGGGAGGAGGCAAGTAGGTAAGAGCTAGCTTCAACCAAGTCGATTGGAGGATGTATGGGAGGTTTTATGTACATATATAAGGCATGCTCGTTGTACACATATACCGTACAGCAAGACTCCCATCCTTCTGCCCACCCATACAAGCATCTCCCTCTTACTCATTAATACCTACCTTCTCTCTCCAACCCCAAACATCAACCATGAAGTCCGTTCTCTCCATTCTCGCTCTCGTAGCATGCGCTCTCGCCGCACCAGCTGCAGTTGCTCAGGGTAAATACAGCACATACGGTATGCTATACTCATCCATTCATCCACCATCTTCTCCTCCCTTTCTCCTACCTCGCCGCTCTCCGTCTTCCTAACACCGCAACAAGGCGACTACAAGAACGTCCCTGCGCCTGTAGGCGGATACGGCGACTACAAGAACGTCCCTGCTCCCAAGCCAGCAACCTACGGCGACTACAAGAACGTTCCTGCGCCTGCTGGAGGAAACTACGGGACATACAAGGGGTATGCGAAGGAGTAGAAGAGACTTGTGGGCTATGAGGGTGTGTAGCATGTGGAGGTAGCACTAAAGCAGACTCTCGAGATCGTATTTCAGCCCAGCCAGGGCTTATGAATCATGAATCATAAACATCATACACATAATCCTCTCTTCATACCGTAGCAGTGACATCCATACCCCAAACATCTTCCCCATCACAACTGTCTAGGTACGATACACAACATCATCACGCCTCAATCTTAACCCCAGGCCCAATCTCCTTTATCCTACCTTCCAGTCTCGGCGCAATAGCTTTCGTCCAATTGACCTGGAACTCCGCGCCATCTAGCTCGTCGCACAGCTTAGGGTTTCCCTTGAGACCAGCAACGCGCCACCATTTCCGCATCACACGCCGGATCATCTCGGTCTGCTTATCTGTAAACTGTATCGGGACTCTAGAGTCATACATCGGGCCATCGTCTTCATCTTCATCTTGGTCTGGGTCTTCTTCTCCGAGGGTGTCGTGTGTGTTGTCGTCGCATTGGTTCTTTTCGTCAAGATCTTCAACGGGATTGTTGCCGCGGGACTGGGTGGGCGAAGTAGGAGATGGGTCATGGAAGGCATGGCCATGTTTCTGGAGGTTCGTTTGTATAGACGCAAATCTCGAGTTCATGGACTTGCCCCAGCGTTTCCATTTGCCGAGCACCTTGAGAGACATGAAGTATTGGCGGAGGATGGTAGAGATGAGGACGCCGTTTTCTTCCGAGACGATCTCTTTGGCGACGCCGCCTTCTTCTTCGATTAGGAGGGATGTGTAGCCATCTGAAGGGAGTTAGCAAGTGGTATGTCTTTGTTGAGGGATGGCGACGTACCTTTACCGCGGCCCATGTAGCCTCGTGTAGCAAGAACATACTCGCGTGTCTCGTCAACAGGTTCTTCCCCGATCGTCACGTTCGTTACTCGCGAATGTGGTGGTTTGGAATAGTCGGCTTCGAAGGTGATGTTGGAGACTTGTGGGAATCTTCCTTCGAGGGCTGGGTAGTTGCTGACACCGTTCTCTAGTGCTTCTCGTATCGCCTTGCCGGTGACCTTTAGTACTACGACTGGGTCTTCAAATGGGAAGCAGTTGACCAGGTCTCTGAGCTTCAACAGGCCGGGAGGATAGATCTGGTCACCGCGTATCGTTCCAGCGGCCATGATACAGCACTCTGCTGAGTAGTAGTAGCGCATGAGATCGCAGACGAAATTGCCGATATTCGACTCCTTGGTCCGTACAGTTGTGAATCGGGCGTCAAGTGGCGCAGCGGTGTATCCAATCGGCTTGTCTAATCGCTTCCTGATCTCCCGTGTCTGTTCTTCTACCAGCTCCATTGCCTGGGGATCTTGTGGTATGCTGCTGACAATGTCTCGCCGTATGATCTTGAAATCCCATCCTTTGCCTTCGGGCTTCCGCCATGCTTCAACATGAGAGAGTTGCTTGAAGTCCGTGCCTGAACGCAGTACTTGGGTGCCGTTGATCAGGCTGTACGAGTAATAGTGGTCGTGACCACCGAGGATGATGTCAATCAAGCCGCCGCCGCATTGCTTTGCCAGCTTGTTGTCGTTGGGCTCTCGCTGATGCGACACGCATACGATGATCTCTGCGCCCTGCTCCTTCAAGCCAGGGATGAGTTCCTTCGCAGTCTCCGAAGCGCTCTTGTATATGATGTCCGGCGGCAGCGCGTTGATTGTGTCGAGCCACTCTCGTTCTGCGAGCCCAATAACCCCGACTTTGATGCCGTTGGATGCTGTGAGCATGACCGTCTTCTTCGCGTTTCCGAGTGGGACGCCGTCGCCGAGGGCTGGATCGTGTACGTTTGCGAGAAGCCATGGGAATTTGCATTTGGCTGTGAGGTAGCGATACTGCTTAACACCGAAATCGAGGTCGTGGTTCTATGCTGTTGTTAGTTAAACTCGACGATTATAAACATCGACGTACATACTCCTACGCAAGAGACGTCTGTGCCAATGTTGTTCAACACAGGAACCATGTGGCTTCCTAGAATTAGCGTCAGTCTCCTTGCATACCCTCGGGCGATTCAGCCCACTCACCCTTTGTGATACTACTCTCAATGCTTGGATTGAACGCATCTCCAGAGAAAAAGGTCAGGAGCTTTGGTTGGTCCTTGAATCTCTCATCGTTTCTATAATAATTGACGAGAGTTTGGAATCGAGCGTATCCGCCCACGGGCTCTCTCGACCCCGCTTCTACGTGGTAGACATCATTGTAGTGTAAGAAACGGAGGTCTGGCGGGGCATTTGGCGCGCCGCCTTCGGGCTCGCATATGAGCAGTTCTTCCGCTGAAGGGTGGTCTGTAGGTGCCATGATGAAGTTGGAGTCTATGTCATACGTGTTCCAACGCGGGAGATAGTCGTCGGGGGATTATGGTATCCAAGGCGTTCTTGTCGCGTGTTCGAGCGGTGAGCACGCCCCGACGCTGCTGTGCATCATCGAACGCAGCTAGCGCTTCAGGGTCCAGGCTGAGCTGCATGGCGAGGGCGCGTGGACCAATGACGATGACGTCTTTCTAAGTCGTGGGTGGATCTGCAAGGGGCAGTTTTGAGGCTGACGGGTGCCGTACCGCTGCCGCATGGCATGTATGAGGGGTCAGGAAGGACCTCCGGAATGGCGCGCATCGACAACGGTGCTACACGAAGCTCAGGCCACTCCAGATCCCTTGCAACAGGACTCACGAATGCATGTAGGTACTTTGTTATTGAACTACTTGCTCTAATAGATAGAGCAAAGGTAATGCCTCATATACAATAATGTAACCAGCAAAGGCGAGGGCTGTGCTTCTCGATGCCATGTGCTGGACGATGCAAAACGCCAGTGTCCTCCAAAGTGGATATCACCGGTCCAGATATCATGATCATAAGAGAGAAGATGCGCCATTTACCCAAGCCCAGAGGGACAACGCCGCGAAACCCACACAAGAATCCAAAGAAATGCAAACCGCGGTTGGAAGCTCCCTCTACAGAGCATTCCAACCATCCCAGAGATTTAACCTAGCCTTGCCCTTACCCTTCGGGCCTTGCCTAGACCCAGCTCCCGCTGGACCCGTCCCAGAACGCCTTGAACTCCTTCCTAATTCCTATTGCCTACTACTGCCTGGACGGCCCCCCTTGGCCTTGGTCTTGGTGTGTGTCTCCTTGCACTCGTCACTGCAGAACCATTTGGTCCGGCCAGTGGGCGGCTTGTCAAGGTTGACGCAAGCAAGATGGAACCACTCGCGGGGGCAGTCGTCGTTGTCGCAGGCAATCATGTTGCCATACGACACTTCGTTGCAGTAGCAGTATCGGGGCTCGTCGCCGTCTTCTTCAGCTTCCGATTCGGGCTCGGCTTCTACCTCGGCTTCTTGGTATTCCTGTTCTTGTGCGACGGAGCTTGCGGCGGAGGACGGGGGGTTCGATTTCACGTTGGGGACGGGTTTCATGGCGGGGGAGGCAGTGGCAGTAGTCGGTTGCGTGTTCTTCTTGTGGCCTCGTTTCGACCCGGTGCCTGTCGTGCTGTTGTTCTCGGATGAGGTGTTGGAGTTGGAGTTGCCATTGTTCGCGTTGCGACTGCTGCGACTTCTCGCCATTGATATCTCTGGGAACGCACCAATAACAGGTGTCGCAGTCTTTGAAGTGCGACCGGGCCTTGCAGAGGCTGCTGCCGGCACAGGAGGATCAACGTCCATACTCTCTGGCTCAGGCTGTCCCAGATCTTCCAACTTCATGTTGGATGTGTCAAAGGGCGGCGGGACCTCTGCGCTCTCCTTGGGAGTCGATGCGCCCTTTACCGAGGTATTGTCCCGCACGATCCCAGCAGCCTGCTCAAGCTCTGTAATGACATTGCTACTAGCGGCTTGTTGTACGGAATGAGAAGAGGAGGGGCGCCGTGCCGCAGGAGCCTCTTGGTCTTTGAGCGACGCCACCGAGTTGGCTGTGGAGTTCTTCCGCGCACGTGCAGACAACGGTCGATCCGATGCACCGGCAATTGCTTTGTTGATGGCAAAATTGGCGGCCAGGGGGGACGATGCCATTGGGGGCGAATACGGCGGAAGCGGGTTCTTGCGTTGCGCAGGCACGGGAGCGGCACGCGGTTTGCGCTTCGCTGCGGCGCTCTCTGGACCTGGGGTACCCCGTGGGCTTGAGCCACCTCGTACGCCGTTGCTGGTAGCTTTCAGAGCATTGCTTATTGATCGCTCCATGGCCGGGGCAGCTGGTGCCGCTGCAGCGAGGGCCTTTTCGGTCTTCTTTCGCTTGCCGTGCGGACCTGCGCCATTGCTCGAGATGCCCAACCCGAGGTTCCTGCTGTCTGGCCCTGCTGTCTCTGCGGGCATAGGCTTCCTCTTCTGTGGCTTCTTGGCGGGTCGGTCGTCGAAATCGGAATCGACCTGGTGATGACGACTGCGCTTGTTGGCCTGCATGGCTTCGCGTCTGGCCTCGCTCTTCGCCGCAATTGAGTCGACGTCATGCACATGCTGGGCGGCCGCGGCCAGATTGTTCGCCGCAGCCACCTCGCGCCGTTGTCGCTCGTGGTTCTGACCGCCCTTTTTCTTCTCCTCCTTGTCCGCGTATGCCCAGTGTGTGAGGCTGCCGTATCGCGCTTCGTCGCTGATTTCGCCGTCGAGCTGGGAGAAGGAGTGGTGCATGCGCATGAGGCCCTTGTCTTTGGTGGCTTTGGCGCCCTGGAGGACTACCAGCTTCTCGTCGAGCGTGGGGAGCATGTTCGCGATGAGCATTCTGAGGCGAAAGAAGAGCTGGCGCTTCTGGATCGCCGCCTGCTCTTCGGGGGAGAGGCTGTCGGGGTTGGATGGGTTGAGCTGCGAATGGTGAGCCTGGGGTAATGGCGTGCGCTCAAACAAGAACGTACATTGGTGGTGTTTTCGGATGCTGTAGAGGCCTGTTCCACAGCCGCCAGCTGCGCCTTAGTGGTGACGGGCTGCTGGGCGATCTCGTCAAGCAGCTCCGTGAGCATCTGCTCTGGGTCGTGGAGTTTCGCTTCGACTTCCTTGAACATGGAGAAGTGCTTGATTATCTCCTTGGGGAATGCGTCGACGGCGCCTGTAAAGTGTGTGAGGGCGGGCAGGAAGCCGGGCGCGCTGTTGGAAGCCTCGGGCGTCTGCTCCATCCCGCTGGCGGCGAGGCGGCCGGCGAAGGTGCGCGCATAGTAGTTGGTAGGTCGGACCGTGGCCCGCCCTTGTCTCGTAGACGTTCGAGTGCCTGTGGTCGGCGGCATGGTGGCTGCGAGGGCGCTCCGTGGGTTGCAGGGCGAGGAAAGTGGCCGCGGACGCGCTCAGCTCAGGATGCAGTGTGTAGAAAGAAGTTGCGTGGTAGGAATGACGTGTGGGCGCATCTCAAGCGATGAACAGTAGTTTGTTGGCGTGTCCCGCGATTTGCCTGTGGGTGCCGTGCAGCGTGACGATGCGCAGAACAGGAGCTCCTCACTACCACTTGACGCTACAAGCGCGAAAGACGCTAGGCACTGTCTGTTGACGGGATGCGCACGTGACTTGCGTTATCGGCGGTTCACGCTTGCCCGATAGTGACACAAGCCATCTCCAAGCCATCTCCCTCCCACCATCACCACCCTCGAGTTTAACCGTCTCCCCTTCCCCAACCGCACGGGGTCCACGGAGCTACCATGCTCTCGGTACTGACCAGATAAGACACCCACAACAAACTTTCTTTCATCGTTACTTTACTCTACGCGCCGGCCGTGTTGGTACTTGCCGCAGTCGCACGCGTGACATGGTCCGCTATCCTCGACGTGGAAATCCCTTTCGTAACCGTCCGTCCCATGTCGGTTCAGATCGCGTCGGCATCGCTGAGGTATGCAACGGGACATACGCAGTCGTGTTACTTTGGATAATTGTTTCGAAGTTCAAAGTCCCGGAGATAAATGTCGAATAGTAACACAGAGACTCAGCCTCATGCACGCTTTTGGCCCCGATCCGCGGTTCGCCCCGTATTTCTCCAAAGGCACAAGTCCAAAGAGTGCAAAAGAACTAGTACTATTTCCACTATATTTAGGAGTATCCACCAATTGAGTAACTTCCCATAGCCGCCGTCGGAATGCGACCTATAGCAGCTTGGAATCCTTCGCGGCGTAGTCAATTGGGTTCGGTCCGGAGATCGTAGTGGAGGAGCATTGCCGGCCTTAAGCCTCAGACGTATACGGTATCTCGCCAGGCACATCAGATTTGCGCATTCTAGATTGGCTGGATCGCATAAGTGTTTGATCAATAGTTCTCGACACAAGCGCTGCGCGGTTACGACCTCGGAACCTTGGAAGGCACTAAACTTATCAAAACCTAGACAACAAGGAACTAGAACGGGAACGGGAACCAACTCATGCCACGCCGTAGATGCTCGTTTACATCTACCCTTCGGCAAGTAAGTCTCTTCACAAGGGTCGGGCTGGCGAACTGTTGGCACGAGCCCTGATTGTCGACTCTGAGCTCTTAGACGTACACCATCGCGGTTGGGTCGGTTAACAGTCACTTGGGGGCCGTCATAGATGCGTGGAGGATTCGTTTGACTCAATCGTATTCGAACTTCCATGTCACGTCTTGAGACTTCATTCCTAGGCTTCAATGACCGTATGCGTGACTCCATTCCTCTCACTCCCTCACTTCATTCAACCCTACTCGAAGGTTTGTCTGGTTCGTATTCTGTCAATGTGGGTACTGTAACAACATTCCGCGGGCCTACTCTGAGTGTAATTCATCCTTCAGTAGCGGCACAGCTTCAATATTGCCTAGTTGCCACTCGGGTTGGCGATTGCGGCGATTGTTTCATCTTCCCGACCATTCCATGATTAATACCTTCAAGTGTTGGACTCACACGGGTCGCGATCTCGAGGCGTCATACGCGGCTCGAAGAAAAGGCTGGCCAGGGCTTGAGCAAACGATTGTCTTGGCAGGGACGTGTATCGCGAGTCTCACGGGCTCATCATTGGCCCAAGTTACCAGGTAGATGGCAGTTCAGCGGGGCTCAAGCGGTCGAGCGGTCTCGGGCCGCAGTGCGTTGCATTGTACGACGGCACATGTGAATCACGGACAATAGTCAGGGACGTGGTTGAGTCCGTCCTGAGGTGACGGTGGGTTGCTCAGGCGGTCTGTTCAAACAGTAAAAATTGGTCACTTGAGAGTCACCTTCACTTCCCATCGGCCTGCCGCGATTGCACCGCCGCCTCCCACCCTTTCTCCCACTTATAACCCGCCTCCGCTCACCTCCCTCGAGACTTTCTTAACAACAGACTGAACTCTCGTCAACAGCAGTGCAGCCGACCGTCCTTCAACAGTCGTCCCTCTACTAGTAATATATCTACCCACGGACTCAGTCAACATGTCCACCGACTATATGATCAAGACCTCCGACACCGCCGCTGGCGCTTCCTTAACGCCTGAGGTCACTCAGGCCGACACCATTCGCAGCAAGATGTCTGTCGACAACCTCGTCGAGAGCTCGAGTGATTCTCCTGACATCACCTCGGCGCTCATACTTGCGCCACCTTCCACTCCCAAGTCGACCAAGGAAGAGCCTTCGTCGCCCACTGTCAAGACTCCTGATACCGTCATGACTGACCTCGTAAGTGCAAAGCCCCCATCTGCACGCATCTCGCGCAATGTGCGGAGTTACCACTTCACCATTGAATCCACAGACTGACCGAGTATCAACTGAGTAAAGGCCGAGCCCGACGCTTCTGGTGATGAGTCTCTCGACGACGGCGAAGACGTACCCGACTCCCAGCGCGAGTTCCTCTGCATGAACGACGAGCACACTCGCTGCATGACTGGCCAGTACACCAAGGACCTGTCGCGCAAGGTCATCTCCGACCACTTTGGCCGCAACAAGGCGTGTACCCGCGACGTCACCGACTGGCCTCTCTTCTGCCGCAAGCACTACCAGCGCGCGACCTACAACAAGACCAAGTGGCAGATCCGCAAAGTGCAGCTCATCCTCCGCCAGTTCGAGGTAATCGAGAAGCAGTTTCCGGGCACCACCTACGACATCGCCTTCAAGAAGTCCGAGGAAGCGCGTCTAAACCACTACTCCCGTCAAGTCGCTGCCGGAGCCAAAAACGACCAAGCCGAGAAGAGTGTCCACCCCAAGATCGGCAAGCACTTCGAGGCGCCCATCGACGTCCTCCGCGAGCTAGACCAGTGGCTCGGCTTCAACAAGACCTACGCAGAAGTCAAGAAGATCGTCGATGTCATCCTCCAGATGCTCGAGGAGAAGGAGACTGAACAAGTCCCCTCTATCGAGTTCCTCCCCAAGCTCCCAGGCAAGACCCCGTCGCCCAAGAAGACTCCAGCCAAAGCCCGCACACCCAAGTCGCCCAAGTCACCAAAGTCACCCGCCAAGTCGCCCAAGACACCTACCCGCGTCTCCAACAAGGGTTCCGTCAAGAAGACTTCAGCAAAGGCTTAGTTCTACCATGACATCGCTGCGCCCAGCATCGCGACCACCGTCGCATCACGTCACTCCTTCATCCCATTGCCATTTGCGCTCACGGTCTCTCAGCGGCTGAGCTACCGACACTCTAATCTTCCTTTGAGTGTCCTGGCAAAACGCACGCACTACTACCATCTTCACTACATTCACAGCATCTGCAATTTTCACTCTTTCGATTCACATGTCTGGCACCATCACGACTGTCTTCGCACACGCTATATGCTGTCGCCCCTCATGTATCAGCGTTTTCCAACGCAGGACACAAGACTGTTCGTATGGGCGATGGCCGAAACATGTACTCACTCACGGCACGGGTGATTTCTTTTCACTTCTATACCCTCATCTTACGATGGCGAATTGTCTTATCTTGTCTCTTGCATTATAGGTAGATTTTGGCGGCGTTTAGGCATAGGGTGTCTTTTCTGGGGGCTGGAGTCAGGGTGTGGGCATGGGTTCGGCCTCACTGGGTCTGTGGTACTATGGTTTACGGTTGGGGCGTTGGGTATATACTACGGTAATCAAATTCAAATCTCTCGTTAGAAATATGGACTGTTGCATTCCTCGCCCTGACCTTGACGTTATCGTGAACGTTGGCATCGCCATCGCCATCGACGTTGGCCCTCCATGCACTGTCGTCACTCACGTTACACACATCATCTGCAAACTCCCGTTCCTGCATATGCACACTGCACATGCACCATGCATCCCCGGACGGCTATTGCCTCGTCTGCATGTGTGTCACCGATACTGTCTACCGCCTGCCCCACCGCACGGTGTACTCTGTAGACACACCCTCTTTGGTGTGTACCTGCATTTTGAGTCAGACTTCGGGGGCGGTCCTTTTTCGTTGTGACTGTGCCGCAGCGCGCTGCTTCGCTTGACTGGTTGGTGAGGCTGGCCCCCTCGTGCAGGCGCTTCTCCCCCACATGCAACGCATCCTGCGAGTCGGGCCGAGGGTGTGGCGCGGGTTTGTGTCTCACTGCGGTGTTTGGTTGCGTGATGGTATGGGGAGGATGGGGATAGGTGTGCTGTGGCGATCGTTGCTGCATTTGCTATGCGGATGTGTTCTTTGATGGACATCTCCGATGGCGTCTGAGGCCAGCTGCGGCATCTCACCGTAGTTCTCTCAGAACGTGGGAGTGAGAGAAACTGTCTGATGATGCAACTCACATCATCGTCCCCAGGTGGTAACAGAGGTCGCGTATAAGAAACACGCTTCATCATGTTGGCCTGCTTGTATCTTACACCTGCATCTACCTTATCTCGTGCAAACCTCTACTACTGCTTCGTCATCCCTCTGCCTCATACTCTCCAAGATGAGCGACAAAGACATCGAGCCATGCGGGGTCTGGGACGGCGACTTCTCTTGGGATGGCTACTTCATGCGGATGCACATGAAGACAGTCACTCAGACGTACGACATGTACAACCCCAGCACTTGGCTTTTAGTCCGTCAGGTTCTTGCAACGGAGAACAAGTTCGACTACAGAAAGAGTAAAGTCCCTCCCGAGTATCTAGTGTACGAGCAGACTCTCATCAAGGACCTGGACGCGCTTCGACCTCTTCAAGGCCAGCGGACCGTCAATCGTCGAAAGAACCGAGTCATGAAGAACCTCTTTCGCTACTACCCGCTCAACTATGATCGAAACGGCGAATTGAGAGCGCATCCGCATATGCCGCCTGACGAACTGGAGGAGTGGATGAGTCAAGTCAAGAAGAGCAACCCGATTGCGAAGAAAGAGGAGGACACCAAGGATGTGGTAGTCGGCGACCATGCGA